GCCAGACCCTCCCTCAGCCTACGGGCGCGCCCGCCCAGATCTCGGTCACTACGACCACGGTACCACAACCCGCTACCATGGTCGCTGCTTTTCCGAGTGCCCCGCTTCTCCCTTCCCTTCACACGACCGCAGTGCCACCTGACTCTCCCCTCTAGGATGCCCCGCGCCGCTTGTGCGTCCACTTCCTCCACTCTTCCTCCTGCCACTCCTCGCTCGACCACATCCAACGTCTCGAGGACGAGCTTGCCCTGATCCGGGCCGACCTCGCCCTATTACGCCTTCAGCCACCCCCACCCTCACAAGTGGATGCGCCCTCGGGCGCATCCCCTACCTCCTTTACTCTTCCTCCCATGCAGGCTCGCTTCCCGCGCCCTGCACCCTATCCAGCCCTATCCTACCTTCTTCCTACTCCCGCGGTTGTTGCGACCTCTTCTACCACAGCCCACTCACAGCCTGCCGCTGTTGCCCCTACCGCTCCCCCATGCGGTCCGGGCGCACAGTCAGCTGCGACCCTTTCTCCAAGACCTGCGCCGACTTACTCAGTCGTGGCACAGGCCTCGGCTCCTCGATCCCCTCGCCGCCAAAATGGTGACGCATCACTCATCTGCTTGTCGGACATTGCCCTGTATGACAGTACAGGCATACGCGTTTCTCGGTGGTTGCACTTTGCCACCCGCACGCTCCAGCTGATGGGCGCCACAACCGACACGTGGGTGGGTCACCTCTCCACGCGCCTGCGTGGCAGTCCTTTCGACGCCTGGGGGGATTTCTATGCTTACTCCCTTCGTAAGGGTCGGACTCCGACCTTCATGGATTTCCATGCGTTCCTCGAGGATCGCTTCGGAGTCCAATATGACGTGACTGACCCCTTCGAGCGTGTCGTCACTACACGCTGGTCCGGCTCTGGTGGCGCTGCCGGCCTGGATCGCCACATCCAGGTCTTTCAGGACACCCACCTCATTTGTGACGTGGTGTTCCTCCCCGAGGCTGCCCTTATCGATCGTTTCTTGGCCAGCCTCCCACTCGAGTACCGCTCCGAGTTATGGCGGTACGAGTTCACATCGGCCCCGCAGGCTTACGAGGCCGCCAGGGACCATCAGCGGATGCGGGCCCGTCTTCACCCCGCCTCCTCCTCCTCTCACGACACTTCCCAGCGCCATTCCCCTTTCTGCGGTCGCCCTCGCCGTTCCGCGCAGCAGGGCCGCCACTTCTCGCGCTGCTTCAGCGCGCTCGAGTATAGTGAGCAGGACGCTGGTGCCCCGCTGTCGCCAGAGGGTGACCATAGCGCCGACCTCAACCTCGGCAAGGCCGTCCACCACCATCTGGAGGACCCTACTCTCCCTATGGCTGAGCGCCTCCAGCTCATCCTCTCCACCCTTTCCCGGGCACGCAGCAGCCCTGGTCATGCTGGCGCGTTGCCCCCCGAGGTCCCTCAGCAGGACCTCCCCCAGGGCTTTGTCCCTCCTCGTGGTGTCCTTTCCGCTGAGGAGCGCGCGACTATTTTGGGCCGGCGTGGCTGTTTGCGATGCCGTCAGGACAGTCATACCTCCTCGTGGTGCCCTTACACCACTGCCCTTGGCCGCCACTACGCCGACCTTTCCCGCCAGCGTCGTGCTCAGTCCCCCCCCGGCACCTCTCATCCCTGCGGCGCCTCCTAGCCACGGTGCAGTGTACACCTGCGCCCTCCTCAGTAGTGGGCTTCCCGACATCTCCGTCGCGGTTCGCCCCTCTCGCTACTGGAGTTGAGGTATCGCAGGACTCGACAGAGTGTACTCAGCCCTCTGTCGCAGTACCGTCTACACCTCTGCAGACCACCGTCTCCCCTCCTTCCCCGCCACAACTACCGACGCGTCGAGCCATTCGCTCAGCCCGTTGCAGCAAGCAGCTTGCGACTCGCAAGGAAGTTGAGCATGCTCCAGGCTCGTCAGGAGCGACTCACCCTCCATGTCGCTGCACTGCGTCGCCTTCTCACCATCCTCTCTGACCCTGATCGCACCCTCCCGATCATTCCAGTACGACTGGAGACCTCCACGAGGGTGTACCCAGCATTGTGGGATTCCGGTTCTCAAGGGGACTTCATTCACCCACGTGTGGTGAAAGAAGCCTGCTTACCCACAACAGGGTCTTCATCTCTCATCTTTGTCACCCTAGGGGATGACAAGACCCGACGCTTCTTTGATCAGACGGTCACCGACCTCCCTTTCTTCCTCACTCTCGAGCCGACTGATCGTTCCCTGGCGTCTCGTCGCCACTGCTCCTCTGCACATTTCGATGTGATGGAGACGGGGTACGACTTCATTCTCGGCACTCCGTGGTCTCGTCGGTTCCGCAACACCCAGACCGATTGGGCGACCAACACTCTCGTTTTCAAAACGAAGTGTGGACAGACGTATCGCGTACCTTTCATAGGTACCACTGCGACACCACGCCCCGATCCTCCTCCCTCGGAGCCTTCTGCGCCCACACCATCTCCTTCTATTACTGTCACCTCGCCTCAGCAGTTTGCTCACTTCATCTGACAGGACGACGTCACCTTCTTTATGGTGAACGTGACGGATCTCTTACACTATGATCCACCCTGTCCCGACGTCGAGCTCATCCCTCTGGAGCCAGATCCTCCTTCTATCTCAATGACTCCCATCTCTACTTCCGTCCCTCCGCCATGCGTCGAGTCCACCTCGCCGTCGCGCGCTAACGCTGACGCTAAGGAACTCGCACGATATACGACTGACCTGGAGTCCGCAGTTCGTGACCTCATTCGAGAGTACCAAGGCATTTTCCCATCGTCGTTCTCGTACGTTGGCATCCCACCGATGCGCGACGTCGAGTACTCCATCCAGCTTGTGCCTGACTATCGTGTTCACCATCAGGCACCCTACAGACTCTCGATCCCCGAGGCCACCAAACTCAAGCGTCAGCTTGAGGAGCTCCTGAGACTGGGTTTCATTAAACCCAGCAACTCCCCGTGGGGTGCACCCGTCCTCTTTGCTCGCAAAGCGGATGGAACTCTTCGTCTCTGCATCGACTACCGCAGTCTCAACCGCTACACGGTTAAGAACAGCTACCCTATGCCTCGTTCCGATGAGCTGTTCGACCGCCTAGCAGACAACCGCTTCTTTACGAAGATTGGTCTTCACAACGGTTACCATCAGATCCGCGTCGCTGCACCCGACCAGCCGAAGACAGCGTTCCGATCGCGCTTCGGCCAGTACGAGTTTACAGTGATGTCATTCGGCCTCACCAATTCACCCGCCACCTTCCAGAGGGCGATGCACGACATCTTCAGGGACATCCTGGAGCAGTACGTTCTCGTCTACCTCGATGATATCCTGGTCTACAGTCGTACCCTTGAGGAGCACCTCAGACATCTCCGTGACGTCCTTGACCACTTGCGCAGACATGGCTTCTACGCTAGGCTGAGCAAATGCCGCTTTGCCCAGCACAAAGTGAATTTCTTAGGACACTACGTGTCTTACCAGGGTCTCCACATGGACGACGCGAAGATCACTGCTATTGCAGAGTGACCCGCTCGCACATCCGCCAAGCAGCTTCGCAGCTTCCTAGGCCTGACCAACTATTATAGTAACTTCATCCAGGGATATGCTAGGTATTCCTACGTCCTTACCTCCACCCTCCTCCGGAAGAACCCACCCTGGGCTTGGACACCCCTCCACGATGACGCCTTCCGCGCCCTCAAGAAGGCGGTGACATGCGCACCGGTTCTTCACCTATCCGATTTTGATCGCCCTTTTATCCTTACCACCGATGCGTCATACTTTGTTGTAGGAGCAGTGCTTTCTCAGGTCTTCCCCTTCTTTCCTGATTCCTCTCATCCTCGTATCCCTCGCTTCCCACCACCTACCCCTACCACTGCTTCCTCTCTCTCTCTCTCTCTCTCTCTCTCTCTCTCTCTCTCTCTCTCTCTCT